TGCAGCCTCTGCAGAGCGGGTTCTATCCTGGCCGGCTGGTGAGGATCCCACATAGTGCAGCAGACACCTCTTCTGTCTTGCCCGCTGCTCCCCTCAGCAGTGTATTTCGTCAATCTGCCTGTTCTGCTCCCCACTCTGTCTCTGGTGAATCCTCTCACCTGCCCACACTTCTGGCCTATACCCTGGTTCTTGTGTAAATGAATAAATAAATCTTAAAAAAATATATAGTACAGGAAACAAAAGCAAAGAATAAACAATTGGACTGCATTAAGTGGAAAAAGCTCTTGTAATGCAAAAGAAACCATCACAAAAACCAAAAAAAGCAGTCTATAGAAAGAATGGGAAAAATTGTTTGCACATCATACATCTGACAAGGGTCTAATTTCCAAAATTTACGAAGTTCTTACACAGTCCATCAAAAATAAAGCAAAACAAAAACAAACAAGCCAAACAAAAAATGGGCAAGGCTCAAAACAAACATTTTTCTTAAGACATTCAGAAGGCCTATAGACATGAAAAATTGTTCAATTTCACTAATTATAAAAGACATGGAAATCAAAACTACATTGAGACACTGTGAGAATGACCCATATAAAAAAGAATGGCATCAACAAATGTTGGTGAGGTTGTAGTAAACAGGGACTCTCATGTACTATTAGTAGGAATGAAGTCATTGCAGATCCTATATAAAGTGGTATGGTGTTTCTTAAGAAAATAAAAATTGAAATTCCATATGACCAGGCAATACCTCTAAAGGTATTTATCCAAATAATATCAAAATGTTAGTACAAAAGGAATTATCTACACCTAGGTATATAGCAGTACTATCCACAATTGCCACATCATGTAACTCAAACACATGCACATATAGAAGAGCAAAATATAACCCCCCAAAATTAAAATTAAAATATGAAGATTCCCCCCAGAAAATGGTAAAATAAAGATAAAGATTAAAAAAAAAAAAAAGGAATAGCCTTAGCCATATGAACACGCTAAGGATGTATTCTACTTGTTAAATTAAAGCTCAACTCATACAATGTGATTTCTCATCCACCATCACTACACTGAATCTTGTTTCAATAGGGAGAGTACTACAAATAATGAAATTAGTTTTTTGTTATAGCTTTACATAGTTCAGTAAATTTTGATCAAATGTTTCAACAGTCTTGTATCCCGAAAGTAATTTTTTCTATGTTGAAAGTATTATATTGTCATCTTCTAGTTAATAAAGCTTAAATTTATTATTCAGCCTTTCTTTCTTCTTAATTATAATATTTACTAAAATCCAGAAAATAAAGCATACTTGAACTTTTAGGCTGCAACTGAAAACATTCAGAAATATTAGAATTTTAGTGTTCATTGTTTAACATATAATGAGAAACACATTTTGCTGTGACTTTTCATGTTAAAACAAAATAATTGGTTAGAAATGTACCTCCATTTGTATCATTCCATTGTGTATATATACCACATTTTTTTTGATTCACTCTTCGGTTCTGGGGCAATTAGTTTGTTTCCACAGATTAACTAAAATAAATAGTGCTACAATAAGCATGAGAGTGAAAAATTTCTTTCAAATTAGTGTTTGTTTGTTTTTAATTTTGGGAGTAGGTAGCTAGGAGTGGAATTACTGTAATTCTTTATGCAAACAATGATATAAATAAAAATTACCTCAATATAAATGAATAAATAATAAACCATCCTCAAAATCATGTTTAATTTCATTTTTTCCATGACCAGGACTTTAAGGACATTACTTAATACACTTAGCAATATATCCGGGGGGAGAACGGCGTTAATGTGAAATGCTAGGTAACTGATTTCCATCAATGTTATCTGTGAGCAAAGTCGTACTTACCATCCTCTCTTGAGATCTAAACATTATTTGCTCTAACAAACTAGGCAAAAACTTAATTATCTCATAAGCTGGATAACTCCATCTGTTGCCACTGAAGGTATGTATGTGAACGTGTATATAGGTATGTGTGTTTTTGAGCAGTTTTTTTTTTTTAAGATTTATTTATTTATTTATACAAGAACTGGGGTACAGTCCAGATGTGCAGGAGGGTGAGAGGATTCACCAGAGACAGAGGCGGGGAACAGAACTGAAGAAGTACACTGCTGAGGGGAGCAGCGGGCGAGACAGGAGAGGTCTGCCGCGCCATGTGGGACCCTCATCCCGGGGACCGGGATCGAACCGGTGCTGCAGAGGCTGCTGACAGCTTCACAGTGCAGCGCTCAACCGCCTGCGCCACCAGGGGAGGCCCTGTTTTTTAGCTTTTTGAAGTGTGTCTAAAGTATTTTCAGGTAAAGCAGAGTATTTCTTTTCATCAATTAAACAATCCTCAGTGTTGGAGTGGCTGAAAGGGACCAATAGGCAGAACACAGTGAATTTGTAAGACAGTTACAATAGCCTATGATATAATAACAGTAGATACATCCAGTTGTACATGAATCTAAACCCTTGGAATTAATTGAAATAATCAAGATGAATTATAAAGTGCATATGGATTCCGGGTAATAATGGTGTATCAGTGTTGGTTCTCATATAAAAATATACTGCTCCAGTGTGCCATGTTGTCAGTGGGGAAGAATGTACATGTGGGAGGAAGGTCTGTGGGACTTTCAATTTTGATGTGAAACTAAAATTGCTGTACAAAATAAAGTGTTTAAAAAATAAAAAAATATAATATGAAACAATCACCAGTTATGATATGACATGTCATTTTATTGTATCCTAGTCATTTTGCTTATTATCAATACATTCAGGGATGTTGATTATTATTTAAGATTTTGTTAAGTGGGGATTTGTGTTGTTAATAACACAGGTCCTACCCTGATTTTATAGACTGTGGTTCACTGATACATAATCATTAGAGGCCATTTGGTGCTTCTTTGGTCTGTATCCTAGGGGCTTCCATTGCTCCCAGTGGATGATGTCTGAGAAGCTGGAATGAATTTTCCTGGATTGAATCTCTGTTGCCAATAAATGTATAAAAAATATCTTAACCATCAGTGAATAAATATCTTATCTTTGGTTAGGAGTATTTAATGAATCCCACTTCTGATTATGGCTGCGAGGTGTGAATCTATAGCTCTAAATCAAATACAGTGTTTAAATCCACATTCCTTTGATATACAATAATACAAATAAAAATAAGTCAGCAAAAAATTTAAATATGAAAAATGACATTCCACCTCTGTGCTGTTCTTTCTTTCCTTATTCTTTCTACCAATCAGAGTTCTGCTTTAGCTGTCTCTTGAATTTTTTTGGACAGGGTTTACAAGTGTATTTATTAGGGAGGGTCAGGGGAATTGGAATTTATTCTTTCTTGGAAGAACCTAGTTATTCTAAATTATCTTGATAGCCTATAATTTATTATAATTTTATTTGTTTTTGCATACACTAATTTGGGTACAGGCCAGAAGTGAGGGGCAAGCAGTGAGAGGATTCACCAGAGACAGAATGGGGACCAGAACAGGAAGACTGACTGAAATATACTGCTAAGGGAAGCAGCATTTACTATTCTTAATTATTTTCTTAGTGTGATATTTTAAATTTATAAATATATAACTCTTCTATCTATGTTTGTTATAAATAACTCCCTAATTTCTTGACTCCATTTAATAGTGCTTATACTTCTCTTAAATAATTTTGGAGAAATTAACTTTAATAAAACTATTTAATGTTTCTGTAATTTGAAAGTGTTGTGTGTTAATGAGAAGAATCTCCAACATTATTCCAAGTTTGCATGGAAAAGGAAATAATATGCACAATAAATTAATAGGAAAACAATATTTTTTGTAAAACTGCTAGAATGAAATAAAACATTTTATTTAATTTGCATTAACTGTAGTAAACATCCTCAAGTTCATTTATTTGTATATCTTCATGGGTACTGAATAGATTTTCAATATTTTTTAATTAAAAAAATCCAATAATTTTTTTTAAACTTTTTTTTTAAAGATCTGTGTATTTATTTATTCATACAAACACTAGGTACAGTCAGAAGTGCGGGAGAGTGAGAGAATTCACCAGAGCCAGAGCAGGGAGCAGAGCAGGCAGAAGGACCGAAGTACACTGCTGAAGGGAGCAGCGGGCGGCAGGAGAGGTCTGCGCGCCATGTGGGACCCTCCTCCGGTGGCTGGGGAGCAGCCAGCGATCGAACCCGTGCTGTGGAGGCTGCGGGCAGCTTCGCAACCCAGCACTCAACTGCTGCGCCACCGGGGAGGCCCAAAAATCCAATAATTTTTAAAAGATTTATTTATGTATACAAGAACTGGGGTACAGGCCAGAGGTACAGAGGTTGAGAGGATTCACCAGAGACAGAGTGGGGAACAGAGCAGGCAGACTGACTGAAACACACTGCTGAGGGGAGCAGCGGGTGAGTCAGAAGAGGTCTGCTACCCCATGTGGGTTTCTCTCTGGCTGGCCAGGGATCGAATGTGTGCTGCAGTGTCTGTGGATTGCTTCATAGTGCGGTGCTTAACCCCTTGCACCACCAGGGAGGCCCTTCTGACTTATTTCATTTGGCATTATACTCTCCAATCACATCCATGTTGTTACAAATGACAAAAGTTCGTCTTTTTTATAGCTTAGTAGTCATCCAGTGTGTGTGTGTGTGTGTGTGCATGTGTATACCACATTTTTCTTCTCCATGTCTCACCAAATATTTTAGAATTTATAATTACGTGACTTGTACTACATTTTGAAGCCTCATATTTGACTAATATGCACTAAACATTCAAGTGAGCATCAGTAAATGTGATTGGAAGATAACATGTGAATCAACAGAGGACAGTGGAATGGTGGCAATTGGAAGAACATTGATGACTGTGTTCCTGCAATGTTAGAGAATGCATTGCCTCTATATTTCATGAACATTGCTCCCATTGGAGAAAACAAGACATGGAATAAACAATCATTTCAAGGCTTGTGTGTGTGTGTGTGTATTTGATTTTGTGAATATGTGAATCATTCTTACTCTTTTTTATTTTAGGTTCAGGTTCTTCGGAATGCTGGAGAAGAAGTAACCCTAACAGTTTCATTTTTAAAACGAGCACCTGCTTTCCTCAAACTTCCACTGAATGAAGACTGTGCATGTAAGCATTTATGAAGAATAGGTAAAATGCTCATATCATCATACTTACTTTCTTTTTTTTAAAAGATGCTTTTATTTATTTATTTATTTATTTATTATTTATTTATTTATTTATTTATTTAATTTATACAAGCACTAGGTACAGTCAGAAGCGCGGGAGGGTGAGAGAATTCACCAGAGCCAGAGCGGGGAGCAGAGCAGGCAGAAGGACTTAAGCACACTGCTGAGGGGAGCAGCGGGCGGCAGGAGAGGTCTGCGTACCATGCGGGACCCTTCTCCGGTGGCCGGGGAGCAGCCGGGGATGGAAAGGGCACTGCAGAGGCTGCAGGCAGCTTCGCAACCCAGCACTCAACCGCTGTGCCACCGGGGAGGCCCCATATTTACTTTCAAAACTATTATTTCTTAATGGCAATGGTAATTTATTTATAAAGTTTGGATTTCTTCCTGAGTACAAACATTTTTTTATATTACTAAGCATTTTTTAACCCTTATGAATAGGAAACCGATGTTATTTTTATTTCAGGATTTATTCACCATATTTGCAGTTATATTCCAGACTATAATTGGAGAAGAAAAAATGAACATCTCTTTTAGATTTCGTTCATTATACTTGAAAAATATATTTTCTCTACCTACAAAATGGTAAACTCTCACTCAGTTAAAAGATTTTACAAACAAGCCTGTAGGTTTAAATTGTTCGAATATGAACTGATTTTTGAAAGAAGCACTAATCTCTGGAAATAAATTTTATATTTATATCATAGATAAATTTATATATGTAATAAATTTAAAAGCCACTTAAACATTTATGTATCAAATTTCATATTATAAAACTAAATGTACATTATGTAATATTTTTGGTAAAATTGAAGAATATATTTTAAATTTGCATATCATTTGTGTGCAATGAATTGCAAATGTATTAAATGAACAGTTGGATTAGTTGTGATGAATGTATGCATTTACTTATTATGTACTTTCATTAATTTACATTTATTCATTTTTTTAATTGAGGTAACATTAGTTTACAACATTGTATATATTTCAGAAAATAGGTTCACACCTCCTCAGATAAATTAACACACTACATCTGCCATCAAAGAATCAGTAGGCCTTTACAATACAACATTGGACCTCACCCCTTTATCTACACTCTGCCCTTCCCCTCTCCATCTAGTATCTTCAGTTCTGCCTTCAGATTCTAGGGTTTGTTTTGGTTTAGTTTTGTTAGTCATTTTGTTTTGTTTTTCTACATTACATATATAATTGAAACCAAATGTTGAATATTTGTCTTTCTCCATCTAACTTATTTTGCTTGGCATAAGCCCATCCAATTCCACCATGTTGTTGAAGATGAAAAGAGTTCATTTTTTAATTTTTTGTAGTTGTGTATTGTTCCATCATGTGTATATAAACCATGTTAATCTCTTGTTCTGCCATTGCAAACTTAGGTTGATTCTATACTGTGACTATTATAAGCAATACTACAATGAAAATAGGAGTAAATATATCTTTTTGAATTATGCTTTTGCTTTTTTCAGGTAGATATCTAGGAGTGGAATTACTGGACCAAATGGTAGATCTATTTTGAATATTTTGAGAACTCTTCATTTTGTTCCCAATAGGGGTTAAACCATTGTAGATCCCCACCAACAGTATATGTGTTCCTTCTTCTACACAGCCTAGCCAACATTTGTTATTTTGGTCTGTTTTTGATATAGACCATTGGCACAGGAGTCAGGTGTTATCTCATTGTGGTGTTGTCATTTATCTGCTGATAAGCAATACTGAAAATTTTTACTTGGCCTGTTAGCTGTTCTAATAAAAATAACCTATTTAGCACTTCTGCCCATTTTTGATTGGGTGATTTTGTAGAACTGTGTGAGTTATATATCTTGGATATTAATTGGTTTCTTCTTGAATTTATCATCTGCAGATACTTTCTCCCATTCAGTAGGGTATCTTTTTTGTTCTAAAGTAGACAAGAATTTCACATACACACACAAACACACAGACACACACAAACAAACTACAGACTAATATCCCTTGTGGACCCAAATGTAAAAATCTTCAACAAAATCTTGGCAAACCAAATTCAACAATATATTAAAAGGATCACATATAATGACTAAGTGGGATCTAGTTCAGAGATGCAAGAATGGTTCAACATATGCAAATCAATGTAATTCACCATGTAAACAAGAGGAAAGACAAAAGTTTTATGATCATGTCAATGGATGCAAAGAAGGTAGTTGACAAAATTTCACCATCAATTGATGATCAAAAAAATAAACTCAGTAAAACGGGTACAGAAGGAACATAGCTCAACATAATAAAGGCCATATATGACAAATCCACAGCAAACATCAAACTCAATTGTGAGAAATTGAAAACTTTTCCCTTAAGATCAGTTACATGCCAAAGATAGACACTCTCACCAATACTGTTCAATATGGTATTTGAAGTCCTAGCTAACGTAATCAGGCAAGGAAAAGATTATTAAAGGAATATAGATTCCTTTTAATCAAAGACATACCTCTGTGCTTCCTCCAAGTAAATGACATTCCCAGAAATAACCATTCATTTATTTTAATTTTACATAAGCATATATATGTATATATGTACAATTATATGCACATAGTGTATTCATATGTCCCTATAAATATATTTATGCCTTCTTTTTCTATTTTTCTATTTATGCCTTCTTTTTCTTCTTTTTCTAGAACAATATATTTTTAAACCTCTGCACATTTCAATAAAATCATTCTAGGAAATAATCATCAGACAATTCAAGGATTTCACTTGCATTTCTCAAATACCTTAGAAGATACTTTATATATATGTTAAATAAAAAGAAGCAGTATATAAATCTTTACTCCACACTCAAAGTTAGTAGAAATTCTTAGATCCTTCTTTCGTTTTTCCTTTGATTACTTGGCTGATTTATGTTCTTATCATCATATTTATTTTGGCTTCTAGAACCTTTTTAGAATGGAATCTTTACTTACTTTTGTATACCCACCTTCCATCATTAAGTAATCATGTACAATTCAGTACATGAATTGTAATTCACCATGTAAACAATATGCAATATTCCAGTACATGATTATGTTATTTTTTAAAGATCTGTTGTTGATAGACAACATAATTGTTCCAATATTTTGCTATTGTAAACAAAGCTTCAGTGAGCTTTATGAATAGGCTTTTGAAAGTCTTACAATTTTATGCCACTATTTTATATGTACTGAGTATGACTATTGAGTCATATAGACATATAATTAGTTTGTTAACAAACTGCCATATGCATTTTTCAAATTAGCATGTATTTGAAATCCTCTCAGCATCTGCTTTAGCATTGTATGAGAACTCTGGTTATATTGTTTATTTTAATATGTGAGAGTCAAAGATACTTTAGTCATTTTATTGCATAAATAATGGAAACATAAGGTAGTTTTAATTTGCATTTCCCTGAAAACTAGTGCTGATTAGCCTCTTATCATATGTTATTTGCATACCTTGTGGGTCATTTGCATATTTTATTTAGTAATATGTCTGCTCCAATGTTTTGCCATTTTCAATTGGTATGTTTTTATATTATCATTCTGCAAGCTTATATAAAGATATTCTGTATATAAGTAATTTCTTAGCTGAATGTGTTTCAAATATTCTTTCTTAGTCTGAGGATAACTATGCTTTTTATCTAAAATTGTCATGTTTGCAGAAGTTTTTATTTTTGACAAAATAAAATGTTATCCCATTGTTATTGTTTTTCTTGTAGATGTTATATGTTACTTTTATCTATATTTTCTCTAAGAAATATCTCCCCACTCCAAGGTTGCAAAGATATCCATCTACATATTTTCTAGAAGTTTTAGAGTATTGAATTTTATGTTTAGGTTTCTAAACCTTCATATGCTAATTACATTTTTAATGTTTGAGTTAAACATCAATAATCAAAGAATAACTTTCTCATTTCTGTTATCTTGTGTATCCTTTCGCCAAAACCACACTGTTTGACTGTTGTGTCATTATAATGCCTTTAAAATTTCACATAGGATGAATGATTCAACCTTGCAAATTTTTCAAGTTGTTTGTTCTAGATACATACTTTTGTAGCAGCATGTCAATTTCTATTTAAAAACATACTATGAATTTTGATTGAGACTAAATTAAATTTATATACAATTTGATAAATTAACACCACAATAACTTTAACTCTCACTTTGTAGACATAATATGACTTTCCATTTTGTTTTAATTTTTCTCAGCACTATTTTTGCATTTTGTGTAAGGATGTTTGACTCATATTTCACTAAATTTATAAGCACTTTACATTGTAAGTACTTTAAATTTTTCTATTTGCTTGTAAATAGTATTTTATTACCAATTATTTGTTGCTAACACATAGATTATATATTGACATATTCTGCAACAACACTTAATTTCCTTATTATTTCTGATGGGAATTTTGTACATTCTTCATATTTTTCTACATATAAAATTGTTTCCTCTGTAAATGTGAGTTTTGCTTATTTTTTAAGATTTATTTACCTATACATACAAGAACCGGGGTATAGGCTAGAAGTGTGGGGGATGAGAGGATTCACCAGAGACAGAGTGGGAAACAGAACAGGTAAACTGACTGAAATACACTGCTGAGGGGAGAAGAGGACAAGTCAGGAGAGGTCTGCTTTGCCACGTGGGTCACCTCCCTGTAAGGGGATCAAACTCATGCTGCAGTGGCTGTGGATAGCTTTATAGTGTTGTGTCTTGACCCCTTGTGCCACTAAGGAGGCCCCAAGTTTTGCTTATTTTAATCCAACCTGTATTTCCATAATTTCAATTTCTTACCTATGGCAATAGCTGAAACCTTCAATAAAATATTAAGTGAAATATTGAAAGAGGAAATCCTTATCTTGCTCAAGATATTAGAGGACAAATTTCTAATCCTTTATCATTAAGTATGACATTAACTGCTTAATTCTCTCAAATATTTTCCTGGATTCATTGAGATATATTTTTCTTTAACTTATTCTGATAACAAATCAAGCTTCCATTTCTAACATAAACACCACATGGTTGTAAATATTATGTTTTTTTTAAATAGTGTGTATTTAAATTGGCTAAATTATACTTATTCTTAAGACTTTTTTAAAAATCTATGTTCATTAGGGATAAACATGTCTATTTCTTACAGTGTTTTAGTGGACTTTTAGTAACTGGATTATTATGACTTCATAGAAAGTGTTGAGTTACAATTCCTCCTCTACTTCCAGAAAGAATTTGCCAAAAAATGACATTTTATCTTTCTTAAATGTTTGAATAAATACATGAGTATGGTAAAATGAGACTAGAAGTACAATATTTGTTTTGTATGAGTTTCTGTCTTGAATGTGTAGAAGGCTTTATTTGATTTTTTTTTTAGTAAACTTTATCTTTTTTCAGTATTTTTGCACATGTAACCCTGTTGCCAGTTTATTTGCAAGAACTTACTTATTATAAATTTTATTGTTTCTTTATGATTCTGTTGGTTTTCAGTAATGCGTCATCTTTCGCTCTTAATTTGTGTTTCTTTCTCTTTTTGTTCTAATATTTTGTGATTTTATTAATCCTTTCAATGAGCCCATTTTTGTCTTGGTTAATACTGCTTTTTCCATTAGTGTACAATTTATTTTAGTGTACAATTTATTTTATTTATTTTCTGTGTTCTCTTTACTCTAACTTAATTTTGTTTTTTCCATTTCTAACTTCTTAAGATACAAGTTGGATCAATGAATTTTCACCTACCTTTTTTTTTGTTCATACATTTAAATTGTTAAAATTAATTCATATAGTATTGTAGATGCACTTACAGAACTGTGTTTTTTTTCATTTTATTCAGTTCAAAATGTGCACGTTTTAAATTAATAAGTGTTTATCAAAATATTATCTCTTGAGGGGGAGATGATGCAGTTAAACATCAAAAGACAAAGTAACCAAAACAAAGTAAATTTTGAAATTCTTAAAAATTAAACAGTGTAAAAACTACATATGGCTATTATAGCAAAAAACAAGAACAGTTTATGATTCTCTTCACAGCATAAAGTCATTGGTTTTTACAGTAACGAAAGAAAAGAAAAAAAAAACATTTATTTTTGAGGACATGAGTTAATGTTAGTAATATCTCCAAACTCTGATAATTAAATTTAAGTGTAATAGTTCAAATAAAAATTGAGAATCAATAGGGGGGTCTTGCTGGTTGCCCAGGGGGTAAAGACAGCACTATCAGCTATTGCCAGTGACTTCAGCACAAGTTAGATCCCAGATCCCCAGCTGACCAGGGAGCTAGTGTGTATATGTATGTGTGTGTGTATAAGATACATATTATAAAGATATATTTATATATATTATAATAAGATACATATTATAAAGATATATGTATATATTATAAATATATATATATATATATATATATAGTTTATTGAAGTAACATTGGTTTACCACATTCTATGTGATTCTGATATAGAGGATCACACTTTTTCTTCTCCCTGTTGCTCACCATCTTGGATCATCAAATTCACAGACTTATTTCTAGAATTTATTGTTTGGTTTTGTTTGACCCTTTTTTTCATTTCTCTGCATTCACATATAAGTGAAACAATGTGTTATCTGTCTTTCTCTTTCTAAATATTTTCATTTAGCCTTATCCCATCTATTTCCATCATGTTGTCTCAAAAGGAAAGAGTCCATTTTTTTTTTCAGTAGATCAATACTCTATTGTTCATACATGAGTAAGTGTTCTTGGTCACTTAGTTTCTTTCCATGACCCTGCTATTGTAAATAAGGTTGTAATGAACACAGGAGTGCATACATGTCTTCATGTTTTGTTTTGTTTTGTTTTGTTTTTCATTTTTGGGTAGATGCCTAGGAGTAGAATTGATTAATTATATGGTAGTTCTATTTTTAATATTTTGAGTGATCTCCCTACTGTTTTTCATAAGGGGTAGGTCGAGATTATATCCTCACCTGTTTTTCTATATCTTCACCAATGTTTGTTGTTTCTTTAAAATATATATATATATATATTTATGCATACAAGAGCTGCTATATGGGGTGGGAAGGGTGAGAGCACCTGCCAGAGACAGAGTGAGGGATAGAACAGGCAGATTGACCGAAGTACACTGCTGAGGGGAGCAACGGGGGAGCCAGGAGAGGTCTACTATACCAAGTGGGTTCCTCCCTGGCCAGCTGGGAGATTCAACTTGTGCTGCAGAGGCTGTGGACTGCTTCAAAGGCTGTGTCTTAACCCCTTGTGCCACCAGGGAGCCCCTGTTGTTTCTTTTTTTTGACCAGACCATTTTCACTGGTGTGAGGTGAAACCTCTCAACCTCTTGTTGAGGTTGATATTTGCATTTCCCTGATAACTGATTATGAGCATTTTTTCATGTGCCTATCAGTCATTAAAATGAAGCCTTTGTTTAATTGTAGTTTCACAAAATTAGATAACATCAATGATTAACATTGACTATTATAGATTTTATAATGAGAATTTATTAAATATAAAGCACAGGAAAACATTTTTCCATCATGGAAAATTATGTTGTCTAAATACAGGATTTTGCAGTAGGTTAAAAAAAAACATTAAACATAATTTGCAAATAAAATTCTTACACTAAATATGGCTCATAATTGTAAGCCAATGTGAATAATGAAATGAAGTAATAAATTTGTAAGGTTGCATATATTTCTGAAACCAAAGATATTTATTTCTAGGTCGCTTTTACTGCCACAATAACATCAGTTACTTAGCTTACTTGTAAAACTCTTTGATATAAGGTAAATAGAAGTTTCACTACCTGATTTACCTATAACAGAGTTTACCAAACCAATAAAGACAAACTTATAGCTATCATTGTTAAACTCCTTCAATAAATTGAGAAAAAAAATAATTCTTCCAAACAGGTAATAAGAGCAACATTATTCTGATAGCAAGAGTAGGAAAGAAAGAAAAAAAGAAAGAAGAAAGGAAGGAAGGGAGAGAGGGAGGAAGGAAGGAAGGAAGGACGGAAGGAAGGAAGGAAATAAAGAAAACTAAAGACCAATGTCTCTGATAAACATAGTGTCAAAAAATCTACAATAAAATCTTAGCAAACTGAATTCCACAATATATTAAAAAGATCATACATCACCAACAAATGGAATTTATTGCAGGGACACAATGATGTAATTTACCACATCAACAAAAGGAAAGATAAAAAGCACATGGTTATTTCAATAGATGCAGAGGAAGCATCTGTTTAGATAAAACACCCATTTATACTTATAGTATTGTAATTTTTTTCAAAGAAAGGGCAATGAGGATGCATACCTCAATAATAATAAATACCATGTATGACAAACCCTAAGCTATCATCACATCCAATGGTGGAAATGTGAAAACTTTTCATCTAAGATCAAGAACAAGAGAAGGATGTAATGTAGTGTAGTAGTGTAAAAGAAAAATATGCCTACTACTACCACTCAACCTATTTTGGGGAGTCCTAGTTAGCATCCTTATGCAAAAGAAATATACACAATGAATCCACATTGGGAAAGAAGCAGTAAAGCTAACATTATTTGCAGATGACATGATAATAAACACAGAGACCCCAATAGCTCCATTAAAGAAAAAAAATCTAGGGCCTGGTGGTACAGCGGTTGAGCGCTGGACTGCGAAACTGCCCGCAGCCTCTGCTGTGCCTGATCCATCCCTGGCCGCTAGTGAGGGTCCCACATGGCGCGCAGACCTCTCCAGCCCACCTGCTGCTCCCCTCAGCAGTATACTTCTTCAGGTCTCCTTGTTCTGTTCCCCGCTCTGGTTCTGGTGAATTCTCTCACCCTCCCCTTGCTTCTGACTGTACCCAGAGCTTGTATAAACAAACAAGTGAATGAATGAATGAATGAATTGATAAATAAATAAATATTTAAAAAAAGAAAAAAAAACTATTAGAAACAATAAATCAGTACAGTTAAGTGGAAGGCTGCACTACAAAATAGTATATAAATATGTAAATATTCGCTGCTTTTCTATAAGCAAAGCATTAATAGAAAAGAAAGAACTCTAGAAATCAATACCATTTACAATTGTGTTTAAAGGATTTTAAACTTAGTAATGAATTTAACAAAAATGTGGAAAACCTGTGGAACAAAACCATGACACACACACACACACACACACAAAGAAAATATGTTTTCCATTAATGGAATTGGAAGTATCAACTTTGTATTCTGAAATATATGCATAGAAACCATCAGCCAGAATAATTTGGCATTCTAACCAGTGGGGTATTCTGATTTTTTTCTCCTATAGGTGCTCCAAGTGATCAAAGCAGTGGGACCTCCTCTCCTCTTTGTGACAGTGGATTACATCTCAACTATCATCCCAACAACACAGTAAGATGCTTTGCCATAGCTTATATTAATCAGGAGATAACACAATGACAGCCCAGAAAGATTGTGGTTATATTATATTAAAACAGTTACTGGATATGGTCTACCTGATGGATCTGAAATCCATGGTTGCATTATCATTTAGTTATTATGATAAACCCTGAAAAAATTAATTAGGTCATTTTTATGCATTTTTTTCCTTCAGGTCTATATTAAGTCCCTTGCAAACCATAGAAACTTAATCACTTTATAGCATTGTGTATGATATGTAACTTATTTTCTAAATGATTGGACATGATTTTTATCATTTTTCTTTTAAAATTTTATGGCTCAAAGTAACTATTATTAGTTAGGATGTTTTAGCAATTCATGCATACCAGGGATTAAGTGAACAATTCTAATATATACATTTGTTAAACTGTAATGAATGTTAGAAAATATTAGAATATATGTATATTTAATAATTGGTAAAATTGGCATTTTTATTTTATATACATTTAATAAAATGATTTTTTCTATTGTCCTTGTAGTTTGAATTAAACAGGCATATTTTTCTTTTAGAACTATTTTTGAAACTCTCTATTTCACCCTTCCAAACTTTCACACACTCCAAAGAAAAAACAATTCTCTTTGATTATATATAATTCTAACAATTTTACCCTGTGCTCATGAACATAAAGTGTAGCAGAGCTGATTTTAAGAATTTTATTTTTCTACTTCACATATTCTGATCTACAAAACATAGTTTCTTCTTCTGAATTTTATGATTAGTCTTTCATCTGAAATTGTTGACCTAATTGTGACACTTTACTTCAAAGTATTTCTTTTAAGCATCTTTAGCTTCATTCTTTTTAATGGCCTTCATTGTATCTAACTTCACAAGTATTATACCTTCACTGAGTGCTTTAGGTCTCCTAGTTGTTTTGTTGTTTTTGTCTTTGTTTTTCTCCTAGAGAACCCTCAACAAGACCAAAGTGTTAAAATAGCACACTTATGTGTACTTCATCTTTTCTTCTCTTTTACTTTTGTTACCAGATAAATACTTGCTATATAACCTATTCTTTCTAAAATGCTGATCTTTAGAATATGGCAATATCTGTGTGACATAAATATTGATTTCCTAATGAGAAACTAGATACATGACGTGTTCCCATTAGTTCCCTTCTCAATTTTAAATACTTCTTACAACCAGATCTTTACCTCTTTAATAGCTGCTTTGCTCATATTCTTCTCTTTCAATGTAGATGCTTTTAATAATTTTGACACCCTTTCTTTCTTCTTCACTGGAATGATACTCCTGGCCCCAATTGTTGTGGAGTGTTGGCTGCCCCAAATCCCAGTTTACCACTCTTGTGAGGAACCTCTTACCAAGGAATCAGGGCTTTCCAAACTTCACCTTGCTGTGGCTGCAGTCAAGGACTCAGTGATAGAGGTAGAAAGGCAGGTCCTTGAAGATCCTGGGCAGGGGCCATGAAGGTGTATATTGGGAAGCTCACATTTCTCACCAAGTTGCACTCCTCTTCCACTTCTTCCCTCAACTCTCACAGATTCTGCTTCAGGGCTTTCCCACCACTTCCTCACACAAGTATCCCCCTCTCAGCTCTGTTCCTAAGACAGGGAAGGAGAAATATTTTACCTCAGAAACATAGTACCATGAGGAGAAATTTGAAACCCAAATCTGTAGAAAAATGCATAAAATTATCTGCACTGTAAGTAGAAAAATAGCAATATCAGCATTCTAGTATCATGGAATAAAAGAGTTTCTATAGATTTTTAATATCTGACTTAATTGAACACAACAAATTGAGAGATTACAGAACAAATACTTGCTTCACCTCCCTCAAGAGAATTAAGTCTGATTGGATTATACCCCTGCCCAGTGCTTTCTCACTTTTCTCTTCAGTATCTGGAGTAGACTTTTATATGACCTAAGAGTAGGGCATTTGCATTTTGAAACTTATTAGCTGTAGTCAAAAACATGTTTTCTTCTGACCCACCACTAAAAAACAACGGGAAGTGGGAATGCTGAAGAAAATGTATGTTACAAATCATAACTTCCACAGAATGGGTGCTTATTTTAGACAGTCTCCTTCAATGAAATACATTCTGTTCTGCTATGTGTTTAAAAATCCTCAACTCTGTCCTGGGTCCAGGTAACTTCATTTTTTTTTTTTTTTTTTGCTATGACTTAATTACTCTAGGAAACAAATTTTGAAATTTCCTTAGTAGATTTCAAGGAACTTTATTTGTGGGACTATGCCTTGTAATATCTCAACATCACCTGCTATATGAAAATATAATGTGGGCCTTCTAGGAATTTGAGGTAATCCATTTGAGGGTATACAAGAGTCATATAATTTGCCAGTATAATTGGAGAAAAGGAATTTGATTTTTTTCTCACCAGGAGACTTAAATCAGATAATCAACTAACCAGATTCTGAGAAATATTTTTTATATTTATATAACGTTAATTAATACTTTATGTCAGGTCCTTAACAAAAGTTGGATTGGTATTTTACCCTGTATAGCATCCTATTTTAATAAGATAATTGTTTTTGAGATTATTGTGGGACAATAAACCTTGCCAAAAATGTATTTTGTAAAACATTTCCAAAATGTACTACTTCTTGGAATCTATTAAAACAGATTGTAAATATTACTTTTCCCATAAAACTGGTAAAATTAACAGAAACAAAATCCTTTTTTATTTTTATTAAAGTACAATTGACATGCAACATTATTTTATTTTTTATTTTTAATTTTTAAGAAATAGTTTGTTTTCTTGTTTAAAGATTTGTTTATTCATTTATACAAGAACCGGGGTACAGGCCAGATACACAGGAGGGTGAGAGGATTCACCAGAAACTGAGTGGGAAACAGAACAGGCAGATGGATGAAATACACTGCTGAGGGGAGCAGCGGGCGCGACAGGAGAGGTCTGCCGCGACATGTAGGACCCTCTCCAGCCGGCCAGGATAGAACCGGCACTGCAGAGGCTGCAGACAGCTTCACAGCGCTGAGCTCAACCGGCTGTGCCACCAGGGGAGGCCCACAACATTATTTTAGTTGCAGGAATGTAACATAATTTGGCATTTGTTTTTGTTTTCAGATTTTATTTATTTTTATATTAATTTTTACATCATTGTTCATTTTTAAACAATATTTTCTTGCCCCCACCTCCTCAGGTGTAGTCCCCATACAGTTTCCTTCACCAGAGCACCTATGCACCATCACCTCAGTCTCCTGTGTTCCTCCCTCTCTCCTCGGATCCTTTTCCGTTGTCCTCCCTGGCAGTATGTCTCTGATTTATAATTACCCATTTTTGCTTTGTTGTGTTTTGTACTGTCATTATATTTTTTACACTGATGTCTTATTGGGTTCCCCTATATACCTGCTGTAAGTGAAACCATCTGATATTTTTCTTTTTCTTTCTGGCATATTTCACTGAGCATAATTCTTCTAGTTCCATCCACGTTGCTGCGAATGGCATGAGCTTATCTTTTTTGATTGCTGAATAATATTCAATTGTGTATATATGCCACATCTTCTTGATCCAATCACCTATTTTTGGGCATTTGGGTTGTTTCCAGGTTTTACTTATTGTAAATAGTGCTGCAATAAACATAGGAGCGCAGGTGTTCTTTTGAATCTCTGTTTCTTTGTGATCTACTTTGGGTAGATCCCTAGTAGTGGAATTGCCCAGGACATATGGTAACTACATTTTTAGCAGGTTGAGGAATCTCCACACAGCTTTAAGTGATGAACCTGGAACCTGGGAAAAGATCTATTGTCTGCTATCATCTAGAATTTAAGTAAGGACCTGATGGTTCTGAGCATGGTGATGCTCTTACATGTGAGCATATGGCTGTCACAGGCAACATGGTTTTGTTACTCTAATGCTTTGCTAATATAGGGGCCATAGTGGTCACATGTTGGAAAACCTGCAGCCTCTTCTGACAGCAGGTGCACAGTGCAGAAACAGTGAGGCATTCAATGAAGGCACCTTCCTCTCCTGCCCACCCTTCATGCCCATTGCTCCAATATTCTATGCAATTTGGACTTCTCAGGGCCAGGATGGGTGATTGTCTCTTGTTGTGAGCAATATTTACTATGCAAAATGTAATGCAAAGATTTAACAGGCCTGGGGAAGAATATTCTTTAATGGTGTCTCAAAAATATTTGGAAACTTATTAGCCAATAGTAAACATCTACTTTCTATCTGGATAGAAATATGTTCAAGTTCAAGAATACTCTCTAATGGTGACTCAAGAATATTTGGAAACTCATTAGCCAATAGTAAACATCTTTTTTTCTATCTAGATAGAAATATGGATTATTGTGTTTTGTGGTCCTATCATTCCCAAAACTTCTTGTACACATGGCGGCACACTTCTTTTCACACAATAATGCTCAGATCATTTCAGGTGAAAAATCACCTAGACATATAAACATGCTGTATATAGTTTCAGTCATAATAAAGGGAATCTGAAATTATTTATAATTTATATTATAAAAATACATATAATTTATAAATAATATATAAGGAGAATCACTGGATATGGATGCAAAATTTAGTTTTCCTTATACTTTCTGACTAACAGGTATGATTTTTTTCAGAACAAACTAAGGTATTCTCAAAATATATCTTTAAATAAGGATATCTGTAAAATATTTAAAAGGGGGCTAGTTATTTATGTTATGGACTTCTTACTCCTCCCAATTAACACCAGCATCACTGTATCCAAATTGCATACCAGTTGAGTCACTCAGATTATGTTGTAGAGTATTGTATAGTTTCAGGTAGGTCATAGGTTTAAATGGTCTGAAATAATAGTCTAGAAGTGTTGGTATCCCACATATTGTGTCCATCCCTGAGTCTTGAAGTTGTTAAGTTTTTTCCTGGAAAAAATAGGGTTAAATTAAAGGAACTAGAAAGTATTATTGATATCTATACTAACCATTACACCATATTAGTCATGTTTTCATTCCTGTTGAAGAATGCT